AAGGCCTGCATGGTACTTCCCAGAATGACCTTGAGTTGCCAGGACAGTTGATGGAGCCCCAGGGTTTTCAAGAAGCAGAACCTCCTTAGGCTCCCTGCTGGCTGGCTTATGGTGACTCCTCAACCCCTAGGACCCTCATCAGATTTATCATTTGTTGCACTAAACTGAAGATACAAGGCAGTAGGCCACAAAAAGCAAAGGTGCACTCCAGATTCTAGGGGTGACCCTCTGACTCCAAGGGGGCTGCTGCTTCTCTCTTGGCTGGGGGTGGCATCAGGTTGCAACTTAAGGAGAGGATGAGGTCAGAAGAAGGCAAGTGCCCGTGGCAGAGACCGGGCTTAGCTGCCAAACAAGTATCCTTGGCAGAGGAGGCATTCTTGCTGTATTGCACTATGACCTACAAGAGGCTCAAACAACTCTTCCCACTCAGGCTGAGAGGTACACTGTGGCGGCTTGCTGGACTCCAGAGCTGGGAACTTTGCTCTACCTTGGAATCACTGCAGGCATGGCCACACCCCTGCCTATGTAAGAGCCCGATACTTGGGGCTGCACATGTCTGACTTTGTTTACAGCTCTGCTCCACTCTCCGCAAACTACCTGGAGTCTTCCCACCTGTCACCCTCCCCAGACTGACTAGAAGCCCTATCTTCTCTCTCCACAGTGCCTACCTCTGTCTGAGACAGGTGCCTCATGTGGGACCCATCTCTCATGAGTCTGGTGTATTCTTTAAATTACCTGGGCACAAAGAATTTCCCATTGATTAAGCAATATAATTATTCATCTAATTCTAACAAAGTTGTGTCTGGGAGCAGATGGTTAAACTGGATAACCTCCAAAGGCCCCTTAGTGTTTGAATATCACTGGCTCTCGAAAGTTACCACCACGGTAGATTTCTGAATTCCCAAACCCCAGACTCCCTTGGACATTAGCAAAGCAGGGCTTTTCTACCTTGCCCACAAAGGGGGAATTGGAAAACAGGGAGAATTGTTCATGTTCATTGCAACCCCAGAGATCAATTGGTCAATCCAAGTGATCATTAGGTCAGTGATCGTTAGGTTAGGCCTCGTCTGGAAGAGCAGCAGCTGATGGCTCACTAGCCCAGCCTTCCTTCAGAAACACATCACCATAGAGGTCTGCTGCTCTCCTCGAGACAGCCTCCACAGAAACCTGTCTCACTACTGGGCAGGGCTCTGACCCCTAGTTCACATCCAAAGGCACCTCCACCAATTTTCTGGCATAGTCCTACACTAGGATTATTCACACAATTTCTTTCCCATTGCCTGGCTTCAGGGTGTCAGGTGTAGCCCAAAGCAGGGAGGGTCAGCCTTGTCCAGCCTGCTCCTCACGCTCCTGAAATGTATTTCTTTCTTAAGAGATGGAGAATACATCCCTGAATGTCATCAAGAATAGCAGTTTTCTCAGGTGCGCCTCCATTTCAAAGCAGCCACATTGCTTGGTCCTTCAAGGGTCAGGGCAGGAGGCGGTCAGGCTTTGTCTAATGGCAGCCTTCCAACCAGAGCTGAGGTAAACTTTAGACCTGCATCTGACCCTGAAGGCCTTGAACAATCAGCAGGGGCAGCAGGAACTACCAAACCCTCCTCCTTGGTATTTGAAGATTACTTCCTCTTTTATTATTTCCTTTGAAGAACGCGGGGTAGAGAATATCAGAGTTATATTATATAGGTAAGGCTGGGGAGGTAAAGGACCTTGACTAAGATCTCACCCAGTATAAGTCACAGACTTGAGCCTTTAGTGAGGTCTGACTCCCAAGCTAGTCCCTTACTACAGCACTGTGTGGAATTTGGGGTCCAGGAAGAACAAATAAAGGTGATTGTATGGAACTGACATCATTGGGGGGACCTAGGGAGAAACCTAACAATCTTCAATTTTCATCACTTGATGGTACTGCCTGTTTTCTTGGCTGCCAGGGGTTCTGTGGGAGACGACTTGGGTGTTTTCTTGGGAAACAGCCCCTGTGATCAACCTTAAGAGTTCTCATCTTGAGAAGAATCTTCCATTCCAGCTCTGGCTCCCACAGAGCAGGTGGCCTTCAGGATCTTTCAGCCATCTGATTAAAAGCAGCAGCCATCAATGAGGAGCTGCCATGGGGGGCAAGACTTCCATTTCTAAGCCTAGACACAAGTTCTGGGAGCCAGTCTGCTTCCTATAGCTAAGTGTGACTCCTTCTCTCCTTCTGCCGTATTACAAAGACCTTGATGTTGCCAGAGTCTCTCAAGAATGGGGGGGGGGTTGCTAAGACACTTCTAAAGCCCTTGGCTTGGAGGAAATGAGTTTCCTAACTGTGCCCCTGCAGGACATGCCAACCCATCCCACTCTGTACATGCAGATCATAGGAGAATTGGGCTGCTCATCCTAACCCCAGGTTAGCCAAGGAGCCCTAGGAGAAGAGGGCTCTGGGGAGGAAATAGTAGAGTGGGGAGGCCTACTGTGCTATGGCCATTGGCAAAGTGGTGCAGCATTTACTGATAGAAGAATAGGGATAGAGATTTACAGTTGGACTTGTTAGGATGTGAAGTGACCCCAAAGCTAGCAGAGAGAATGGGACATGTTTGAGTAAGCAGATGACAGATTTGAAGGAAAATTGCATGGCAGGAGCCTCTACCAGCTGCCTGAGCTTCAGAAGCCAAGTTGGCATAAAATGTGACTGCTGGATGTTATTTGGCTACTGGTTCCCTGGAAGATGTAGCATTTGCCTTAGCTGCCCCTTTATCCATCCTGAGCCAGATCTCTGTAGCTTAGGAAACAAGAGCTAAGGACCCTAGCAGTAAGCGAGAACTTTGGTCCTCATGTGAGTGCTTGTGTTGTATGCATCTTCTAGTAGATGCAAACAGATTTAGAGAAATTTTGACCTAGAAAGGCTCTTAGTGGGAATACAGCCCAACCTACATCCCATCCTGTTATTCATGTGAAAGTGATGCTCAGACAGGGAAAATGGCCTGCCCGGGACAGTGAGCAGGCCCCACCTCCAGATGCAGCAGTTCCCATGGGACCTCCTCTTTCATACACCCACAGACTCAAGGCTAGAAGTGCTTGTCTCCCTTCAGGAGCCTGGCCAGGCAGGGAGTGTGGCTGCAGTCTTCATTGGAGCTCGCCTCCTCATACGTACTACACCAAGGCATTTGTGCAGCTTCTGCCTCTGGGCTGGAAGGCTCTGGACTGACTCAGAGCCAGGCGGTTTTTAGGCCTCCCTACTGTTGCCTGAGTTCCCACTCTTGCCTGGGGTCTCCCTAGGCCATGTGCACCACAGAACCTGATTTGTTTTCTTAATCCACTTCAGGGCTCTTTCCAGGAGGGGTTGAGGTGTGTTTCTTCATTCAAAAAGCTTCCAGCTGAGATGGGGGTGAGGGAATTTGTTGTGAGAATGGCCTGGAACAGGCCAATGCTGCTTTGGGGAGTCAGCATCCTGTGTGAGATACTGTGTATATAAACTATATATAATGTATATAAATAGGGATGTAAGTTTGTGTAAATTAACGGTTTATTCTTTGCAAATAAAGTGCTCCCCTCCCCACTCTTGAAATCAGCGTGAGCTCTTCCTGCATGTCACGTGCCTCTTCATAAGTGATGCCACTACACATGCGCTCCGGGGAAGGCTCGAGAAACCCATTTTGATAAGAGCACCAGAAGGAAACTAGTCTAAGATTCTTACCCGTGCATCCCACTTGCTCTTTGCACCAAACTATGCATCTCCAGCTCATTTACCTTGGCTTGATGTCTTGCCAGAAGGCATATTGTCACAGGACAAGAGCACACAGCATGGGGCCGCTTTCAACTTGAAAAACATGGCTTCTACATCTCAAGCCTTGCCCAAAACATCTTGGAGAGATCCAACCTTAAGCTCCTCATTAATATACAAATTGGCTCGTTTTGCAGACAAAACCAGTGCTCAAGGATGTTAAGTAGCTCCCCCAAGACCACTCAGCTACTAAGGGTCTCAGCCTGGCTCTTTCCCTGGTGTGCGTGCGGTCCACTCTGCCATGCTGCCTCTACTGCTTGGCCCCACGCTGTTTGATGGAGAAATCCTTGGGAGCTATTCTAAGGAAGGAGATCCTAAGAACAGACAGCCAGTAACAGGTAGCTCAGAATAGTAGATGGAACTTTTCCCAACCCCAGCAGCCTCTGTCCTGTTGCGGAGAATGTAACCCCCAAGTAAAGCGGATGAACCTGAGCCTGCAGTGGTCAGATGATAATGATACCCAAATTGGTCCTCTGGCTGCTTTGGAGAGTGGGTTTCAGTCGCAGAAGCCTAGAAAATTTAAGAACACCTTGGGATGTCACACAGCGGTAGACTATCTTTAGTGTCAGGACCTGGGTTTGATCCTCAGCACCAAGAAGAAAGAAAAGACACTGTATAGAAGAGAAACTCAAGGAAAGTGGAACCTCTGACACAAGAACGAGCACAGGCAGACAAGACCACAGCAGACGGCCACACTTCTGTCATACAGTACACAAACAACCACATGGGATAGGCATTTAAGACAGCAGGAATGTCACACTGTAGTAAATGCACAGGTTGGCTTAAACCAACTTGACCAACTTGATGCAGGCAAATGATTGAACCGGATGACAGCTAAGAGGGCCTGTGCACCAAATTGTGTACTACGTGGTTACAACACCCGCTGGGCTAAGAGTGTGAGAGACTTGCCACTCAGAAACTCAGAAAGCAAGTTCTTCGTAGCTGCTGGAAGCCAGGCATCCCATTTGATTATCAAACAGCAGAGTTAATAGGGCTGGGGTACTGCGTGCAAGTTTCCTGAGTGGAAACGGGAAAATTAGTTCTAAACCATTGATCATTCCTGTATAGCTCTATAGGGTGGAAAGTAGGTATAGACAAGAGTCACCAAGGGATATCAATTACTTAACCTTTCAAAATACCGGCCTGTACTTTCTTTTAGAAAGCGAGACACCATGAACTTTAGGACATTGTTTAGGGATAGGATGACTGGAGGAGAAAAATCTTGTGTTGCTCTCCAGTTTGCCAGGTTTAGTAACATGCAGTAAGTAACACTGAAACTTGCCAGCAGCCTTTGCGGTGAGCAGAGGAAGGATTATGAGTTCCATTTCAGAGTTGAAGAAACAGATAAGAAATCACGGATTGACCCTAAAAATCACAGGTCCTGAATGTGCTGCTCTCTGAACCCAGTGTCCCCTGGCTCTTGAGGTGCCCAGTCATGGAGAATGACAGACACACAAGGTCCTAGAGTCCTCCAAACAGACCAGCTGGAGCACACAGTACCAGAGATGGGCTGTTTATTCTATCCCAGCTTTGCTCAGAGCAACCTCCAGTGACTTCAGTGAAGCCTAGGGTCTTCTCTGTCCCAGCGGAAAAGGGAAAAAACTAGGAGAAAGAGATGGAAGTGGAAAAGGATGGAGACGGAAAACAACCGAATGGACACACCCCCACCTCCCTCCAGTGAGGATTGCTCCAGTCACACGTGAAGCTGCATAGGTAACATTGGCCTGCTGTGACCAGTTCCACACCATCCAGCCAGGGGAATGTCTTTCAAACTATCACCAGCTCCTGGGTCTCTGAGATGCCAAACTTGGTCTTATGTTGATCAAACAATTTGCGGAGAGCATCAATATAGAGTGTGTGGTATTTGGCCACAATCTCCCGGCTCGGATTCTCAATCTTGGGCAGTGGTAGCGGTTCGCCAACTGCCAAGGAGAATGGAAAAGGGAAAGAGAAAAGCATCAGAATAGTTCACTCCACAGGACAGCCCTCATCCTGGAGCTCGGCTTCTCTCCACCCTCACCCCTCTGCTCAGCACACATCCTAGCCAGCCTCCCTGCCTTCAACCATAGTCAGGATTCTGAGGCTCAGCCACAGAAGTGAATCCTAGAACTTAAACCAAGGCTTTCAATAAAAGGGCCCACTCACCAACAGTGGTTACTGGCTGAGAATATGGCAGAAGGCCCCAGGAGTTCTTGGTAAAGCCACGCCCATAGAAAGCACAGGGGTAGATGTGTACCATCTTCTGGAACCAATTCTGAAAGCGATTGATATAGCCCCCAGGAGTAAAAATGTGCTGGTCATAGAGGTCCGTCTCTCCAAAGCCATAAGCAGGGATTAGAGACACCCTGCAGAAGAAAAGCAAGTCCTTGAATACCCACAAAGATAGGGACCCTGCTGAAGATGACATGCTGAACATCAGTGTCCCCTGGGGCTGCCTACAGACCCCCTAGACCTCAAATCCAGCTGTACCAAGGTGTCAGCTGACTATGGTGTCCCATGGCCTAGGCTAGGCTGCCTTTAGGGATGAAACAGTAGCTTCTGAAAGCCCAGTGATCCCTTGGAATGCCCAAATCTGAACCGCTGTCAGATAACACCCAGAGGCCATTTCATTTGGTTTTTCCCCTTAGTCCACATGTTAAGAACTGTGGCCTTTTCTGCTCTAAGGTGCAACCACAGTCCTTTTGTAGAGGGACCCGTCTTAATGAGAGGCTAAGGCTAGCACAAGGCCTGGACAGCACCCTCTCCAGTTCTCTTCGAACCCATAGGTGGTTTTCTTTCCCTCTGTCCTTTTCTTTATTTTGAACTGACACAATTGAATAACATTTATATATAGAAAGCGGGAGTGCTGGCTCAGTTGGCAAGGTGCTTTCCATGCAGGCAGAGGACCTGAGCTCAATGGCCAGAACCTATAGTCAAAGAAAAAAAAGTCAGGTGGAGTGGCATGCTGGGGATGCCAGGAAGATGGAGATGGGTGGATCGCTAAGCTCGCTGATTAAGCCAACTCTACCAGGTAAATTCCAGGCCAGTGACAGACCCTGTCTCTAAAAAGAAGGTGGACTGAGCCTTAGGAACAATAAATACATAAATTGACCTCTGCCCACACATGCTTGCTGCAGGCGTGCGTGCATACACACACACACACACACACACACACACACACACACACACACACACACGTCAATATTTTAATGATGGGTCTATTTATTAACAATTGTTTGCATGTTTCTTTCTTTTTCTTTAACTACCACAAAGCCTGGTATTCTTCCCTGATGGACTTTTGAACATCCTCCCCACCCCATCCCACCCCTATGTCCCAGCAGCTGTCCTTACCCATGTCGAAGGGCCATGCGCACAAAGCCATACCGATTCTTCAAGACCAGGGTGGTAGAGCCTGGCGTGCTGTGTTTGCATTCAGCCAGGCCACCAACCACCACGACAAGCATGTTGCCTGTGCCCTTCTGGGTAAGCAGAAAGTCTATGGAGGATTGGCTCACAGAGCAGGCCCCTGGTGGGCAGAAAAAGTCAAAAGTGCCTGGTTACTTCCACCCCTGCAAACTGTTCTTCTCCACTCCCCTCAACAAGGAGCAGGGAAGCACGGAGCAGCTTCTCCAGCCTGTGTTTCTGGGGAGCTGGTAAGCATCTGAAAAAAATCCCATCTTTGAAGCTGCTCTTACGCATACCCTGGTTCTCCTTAGGGCTGTATGCTCCAGAAGCCACTCACCTGTAGACATCACATAGTCTCTGAAGAAAGGCACCCAGAAAAAGGCTCCTAGTGTGAGCATGTAAGGAGTGATACCAGGAAAGACCTTGGAGAAGCCTGATGTGTCAGTGGCAAAGTGACCAAAGCATGAATGGGCCATGAGCCCATGAGGATGGCAGGCAAGGATGTAGTTGTGGCTGGGGGAAATGTCATGCGTCTTCAAAATCTGTAGAGGAAGATCAACACGGGAGAGCTAAAGACCGAGAGGGAAACTCCTCTTTTGGCTAGAGAACTAGAACTCATGAGTTCCAGCCATGCAGGCTTGGCAATGCACATCTCCAGGGGTCATTGCTTTCCCAGGCCCCCGTGTGGTTACACCCTGAACCCTAATCCCAATCCAATGCTATCCCAGGCTCACCTTGATTGGGAAGTAATTGCAGTAGTGTTTCCACAGACGCCACCTCCTCACACAGGGGAAACGACGGCCCCCTGAAAACACAGACAAGCTCTTTCCACCCCCACTCTCCTTCTCTGAACTCCTTTGGGGATACCATGGGGTCCTCTCACCTTTTCCTGCCCTCTTACATGGCAACTAGAATGGGCATATCAAGAACAACTTAGAATGAATGGGCCCAGCCTCTGCTTCGTTACCCACACCCACCCCTTTCTTCCTCTTACCAACTCCAGTTCCAAAATGGGTCTTTCCAAGACCTTAAAAGGAGCACTTCCGTCAGCTTTCCTAGCCCAGGGAGGGACGCTGAAAGACTGGTTGGGAACTGCCCAGAGCCTCCCAGGATTAGGAGAGTAGCAAGAGGAGCATACGGCAATACATCCCAACAGGCACTTGCCTCGCTCCGGAGTCTTCCAGTCAAAAGCCAGCCAGATGAGCATGAGAACAGTGAACGGCCAGTACGATGTGAACACCACCAAGTAGAGGTTGACAAGGATCACCGTGGTTACTAGAGAGAACCCAGCCCAACGGCAATGAATCGTGAACAATCCCTCACGTCCACACTACCCCCACTGAGTTCCATCTACCCCAAAGTCACACACGCTCTAACTAAGGCCCACTCAACAGTCACTTACAGTCACTTACAGATGGCCCACATGTCCATGTGCCCCTGGACCTTCTCAACCTGATTTGGGTCTAGAAGACAAATGTGTTCCTCACAGCTGTGCTTCCTTCCCATGGCCTCCACCCCCGAAGCCTGCCCCAGAATTGTGTATATGGTGTAGGTAAGGACAGGGAGCCACTGATGGCCACTGGGTATTTGAACTCTTGGAAAAGTTTCCGCTGGCTTACATTTTCTTCTCCACGTCTTCCCCATAAGGTAGTGGTTCTCAGCCTGTGATTGGTGACCCCTTTGGGGGTCAAATATCAGCTATTTACATTACCATTCATAACAGTAGCAAAATTACAGTTATGGAGTAGCAGCAAAAATATTTTTATGCTTGGGGGTGACCACAACATGAGAAACTGTATTAAGGGGTCACAGGGTTAGGAAAGTGGAGAACCATTGCTGTATAGTATAGGAGATGCCAGAGAAAGCTAACACCTACCTTCACCAGATTGGAATCACACAAAGCAAGGAACAAAGTATAATAAGATAAGGGACTAAAGAGCCATGGGTGCCACATCCACTTGAAATTACACTGGAAACGTAAGCAGCCAAGAGTAAGAGAATGTGGGAAATGGGCCAAAACAAAGGTTAGGAAAAAAAGCCCTTATAATTGAACACATTAACACATCTTGTCTTGACTTCTTATTGGAGTCTCATGGAAATGACTGAAATAGTTTAGGAATGTAGGTACACAAAGAGAAGAAGAATCTGAACTATGCCAACAGTAGATGAGGTATCAGTAAAACATGTCTTCATAAAGCGGATGTAGGGAGACACAAGAGGCTTAGAATGCGGCAAGCTGGTCTCTAAGCACCTGCAATGGCGATGCCTACAGGAAGTCTGCTTTCTTTGGAAAAGTCAGGAAAGACTCAGAATCTGGAGGACCAGGCATCACAAGAGGCAGGGATGAAACTCGGGCTCAAACAGCAGAAGCCTGGACGGATTTCTGACAAGAAACTATTTAGAACACTATGTCTTCTCTCCTCTATGCAAATAGTTAATGGAAGAATTATTCTCTGAAAAAAAAAATTGAACCAAACAAGATTCTGGATTCACAGAACCTGCGCGGGTCTACGCTAGGTCCTCTGCATATATGTTATGGTTGTATAGCTCGATATTCTTTTGGGACTCCTAAAAGTGAGAGTCTCTGATTCTTTTGCCTGCTTTTGGGACTCTTCCTCATACTGGGTTACCGCGTCCAGCCTTGATGGTGCGCATTCTTAACGTAACTTGTTAGGTCATCTTTGGTTGATGTCCCTAGGAGGTCTGCTCTTTTCTGAAGGGAAATGGAGGCATGGGTCTGGGGGAGAGGGGAGGTGCAGGAGGAGGACTGGGAGGAGTGGAGAGAGGGATAACGGTGGTCAGGATGTACTGTATGAGAAAAGAATAAAAAGGTATTCTGGACTCAGATACAGGTGAGTCTCAACTTATAACAGTTCAACTTATAATGTTTTGTACCTTATGGTGGTGGGAAAACAGCAGGAATCCAGCAAAAACTGAATTTTTCTCTTTTCCTGGGCTAGCAATATGTGGTACCATTCTGTTGTATGGTGGCCAGCAGCAACAAGCCATAGCTTCAAGTCAGTCACAATACCAGGATATACAACCAGCATGGGGCAATGTGCTGTGTTAATAAGCTGTGGAGTTTGACACAGAAGGTGTATCAAATGTATTCTTGTCAGTTGGTTGGCTGGTCTGAGACAGTCTCGCAATACAGTAGGACAGCCCAGGCTGGCCTCAACTCATAGCAGTCCTCCTGCTTCAGCTTTCAAAGTTGTAAGATGCCATGCCTGGCTAATGTATTCATGATTCATAGTATTTACAACTGACTGTCATTTGGAGAACTTCTGTACTTACGTTAGCTAGAGCTGAAATATTCTAGATGCAGCGAAATGGTTGCTCAGATGAGAGGACAGCCATTTTCAGATATGTGGTCTCAGATAATTTGTCTCCCAAGCCCTTTCTCCTGAACACTACTAGGTGGCATGCTGCATCAAAATGAGGGAGAAGTCAAAGAATCAACGGTGGAAAAGGGTCAACAGAAGAGGGAACTGAGCATGGGCAGGGCTAGAAGTAAATAAACAAGGCTCCTAGAGTACACATTTAAAGAGACACCCACCCTTAGCCACATTCAAGTTCAGCCTCACGTTTGCATATCCCAAGAGTAAGCGCCTTAAATTTTGCCTAAGTGACCATAAGCACTCTGGTAATAGCAGCTGTGCATAAGGCCAGACTGTAAGAGGGAGATGCTGGGCTCCAGCAATATTGTCCTCAAGGAAAGAAAACATGAGAGAAATAGTAAAGATTCCTCATGTCTTTGCACATATTGAAAGATTACCATGTGTGTGAAATGCTTGTGGGCAAGTTAAAAATAACTAAAAGATATGTAGAAAATGAAAAGAATTAGGGACTGGAAAGATGACTCAGCAGTTAAAAGCACTTGTTGCTCTTGCAGAGGACCTGGGCTTGATTCCTAGTGTTCACAACCATCCGTGACCCCAGTTCCAGAGGATCCAGCAGGTAAGCACATGGTGTACATACATGCATGCAGGCAGGCAAAACATTCATACTATACAGTGAAAATAAATAAATCTTTAAAATTGTTAATTAAAATGTAAATGAGTCAATTATTAGTTCCAAGAAAAAAACAAGTCACACAAGAAAATATAATATTGGTATGCTTATTTCCTAATTGTAGTCAGACATTTAACCAAAGCTGCACTATAAGAATTTTAGAAGGGACCTGGTGCTGGAAAAGCAGAGGCAGACAGATTTATGAGTTCTAGGCCAGCCTCATCTACATAGTGAGTTCCAGGACAGCCAGGGCTATGTAGAGACCCTGTCTTGAAGAAGGAGAAGGAGATAGAAGAAGTGGAGGAGGGGAGAGAAGGGGGAGACAGGGAGGAGAAGGAAGAGAAGGAGGAGAAGAGGCAATAATAGCTTTGGAAGAGGTGAATATATTCAAGCATATCATATAGAACTCAATTCTCATTTCCTGTGTTGGGAAGTCAACAGAGAATGCCTAAAATTGTTACAGCATACAATAGCAGTGTTCAGAAATTCCAAATAGTAAAATTCAGGAGTATTTTTAAACAGACAGCACATTACAAAGTGATACTGGGGAACAGAACTATGGTAATGCAAAGGCCAGCAGTTGTAGCCTCTGGACGAGAACCACAGAAAACTTCTTGGATAATTAAAGAGAGTATGGATCTAATACAAAAGACACCTCATTTCTCTTAGGGTTTGCTCAAACCCAAGCGTGGCAAAAGACATATTGTGAGCATGGCTCGGGGAACACCTTGTGACGGAATGAATCCTCCACCTACGCTTCCATTGCCGAACCTTAGCTCTGCATCTGCAAAATGTCAGTCTTCCCTCTCCTGTCAGGGCTCTTACAGAAGTCTTCTCGCAAGGTCTTTAGGGTCCAAATGGATATGGCGCCCCATCAAGGGAAAGGAACTGGGGGGATCAGAAGGACCTACACACACACACACACACACACACACACACACACATCCTGTTGGTGAAAATGGACCAGCTTGATGCCCACATCTTCTGTCACCAGTACCAAGAGCTCTTCCCACACTACCTGTCTTTTCAGTACGGAACCAAGGTTGAAGTTGAGGAGGTCCTCAGGGCCCACTTTCTCCCTGTACTCACCCTTGTTTCCTCCGTTCTTGACCTTTTTCTGTACCCCCTGCCCTCTGCCAGCCCATGCTGGCACCTGTGAGCTGGATCTTGCATTAATTCTTGTCTATGCATTGACTCCCTCCTAGCCTTTCTTCTTCTCTCCATCCCCAGCACCACAGGCCTGGTTCACATCCCCACCCTCTCTCAACAGCCTGACAAACCTGCTGCCACTATTTCCCTTCCTGCCTCCTTGCCATTGGTTTACTCCCAAGAGCTAAATCAGACTTTCAAAACCACGAACCTAATGTCATCACCCTGTGCCAAACCCTATGCCACATGACCTCACAGGAAAAAGCCAAGCTCCTTTAAACAGCTGTCAGTGTTCGCTGTAATTCTCCCCCACCTGCTCCTCCAGTCCCTCCTCCCCCGTCCTTCCTTCCTTTCTTCCGTAAAAGTATATTAAGTACCAAGTCTGAGCTCACTCCCATCTCAGTTACTCACATCAGCCCTCTGACTACTCCAGATTCTCATTCATCCGGGCCTTTTCATGGACCTATGTACTGTCCCCAAGGCTCATCCCTTCTTCACCAATTTCTTATTTGCCCCTCAAGAATCAACTCAAACTGTGCTGGCGGCACACAGTTGTAAAGCCAGCATTTGAGAGGCAGAAGCAGGTGGTAAGTTTGCTATCATCCTGGTCTACCCAGTGAATCTAGGCCAAGCAGGGCTACATAGTGAGACCCTGTCTCAAAGAAAGAAACAAACAAACAAAAAACCCTAATTTCCGAGGAACATACAAAAAGATTCTCAACTTCATTTATAATTAAGGAAATTCAAAATAAGACTGTGCCTTATTTATCACTTAAATCAACAGTAACTAGAACTGCATATAGGGTCTCCATTTCCCCTTTCTATTCTGTGGTAACCCTTACAGCTACATTTTCCAGGGATAATTGGTGGCGCCTATACCAACTTGATCAATAGAGTCCACCGTGAGCTGAACCTCCTACCAACCTGTTTGGTGCATTTAGTGTGAAGGAGAAATGACCATTTTTTTTTTACTTAAGTACCAGATTTCACCTAGAGTGTCCTGATGAATATACCCTAAATACACCCATTTTATGAAGAACGAGGAGAAGTGACTTACCAAAGGTTGTCCAGATAATGAACAGTAGAGTTAGAGTCTGAACTGTTACTTTGACTTCAGAAACTATTGTCAACATCGGTGCTATATGTATATCTCATAGCTATGTGCATATATGTGCATACATATGTGTATGTGTTACATATGCATTTATAATCTCCATCATTTGTGGCTATGCACACACACAATTAACACAGCTATGTCTGAAGCATGAGATTCATGATTGGACTGAAGAAGGAAAGAGGAGCCACCCTAAAGGTTCAAGCTTCCTAGACCTTCAGCGAATAGTCATTCTTCCCAAATTCGAACTCAGTTCCTTGACCTTGGGGACTTTGCTGTCTTGTGGGAACACAGTCGCCATGATGGAAAGGTGGAAAGACAGTAACAAGCCAAGACTGGCGAGAGCAGAAAGACAGTACACTCAGTTCCCTTCCTATGTTAGGGCAACCCCTGCAGCCTCATTTGCCAGTTACAGTTGGCAATGCCTGTACCAACTTGAACAAAAGTCCACAGTGAGGTGAGCCTCCTACCAACCTGTTTAGTGTGAGCACGAACATAGTCTCACTAGACTGCCAGTCTAGTGCGCACACCAAGCTCCACACACAAACTCCCAACCAGTAGTGAGCAGATGCATAAGACAGAGAAAGAAATTCTCAAGCAAAATGTTAGCCCTTGTGTGCTCACTACCAGCCCAGCTCCTCCACTGCCTAGCTTGGGATCTTGGGCAAATGACTTCTACTACATGGAATTCAGCTCTTCCTCTTCACAATGAAAATTATTAGTCACATGCAGTGGCTAGACTAGTGTTTGGCATTTAAAAAGAGGCCAGTGCATGTTAGCTAACACTCTGTATTATTGAGCATTACATGCATAGCGATCAGTATGGCTTTTTAACATGATAATAGCATCTACTTTGTAAGGCTCACACCAGTTAAAATGAAATAATACATGTGAAAATACGGGGGCACACTAATATCTAAGAATTCCTTTATCTGGTTGCTTCCAGTTCTGATTGCCCTCATCCATCATTCAGTATTAGATGGTTCTGGTACCTCCCCTTGGCCTCCTACTCTGTGGCTAGTCTGATGGTTGAGGTAGGAAAAGCCCACTATCCTCTTCATCGGCATGCCACTGTACTAGGGTCATGTTCTCGGGGCCTGCTTATAGTCTTCATTCCCAGAGCTCTGACAAGATCACCTAATTCATACCCTTGACTCCTGGCAGTATTCACATGAACTACTGTTCCTGCAAGAATTTTTTTTCAGGCCCCCTCCTGCAGTGATGGTTTGCTCTAGTATATAGAACACCATGACCAACATGTAATTTTCATGAAGGGTATAGATGTTGAAAATGGTGGAAACATAGCTCAATTCCTCTCGGCAATAGGTTTCTAAAGAGTCCCTCTGCCAAAGTCAACTCTTTCATCACAGTTTGCTTGATTTCCTGAGGTCGCAGCCACGCCCTTCTCTTTGGCTGACTTCAGTGAACTTGTTTGCAATGATTCCATAGCATGGCCTCTAGACTTCACTTTGCCTGGTGGTGCTCACTAGGCAAACCTAAAGCAAGAAGTGCATGTGAAAACACACACACACACACAGAGAGAGAGAGAGAGAGAGAGAGAGAGAGAGAGCCCTGCACAGACATATGCACATCCATGTCCCATGTCCATGTGGTCACACAGACCTCACAAATATCCCACCCAGGTGGCTGAGGCCACAGACCAGGATTAACAACTCTTCTAGTTTGCCTAGAACAACACAAAATTTGAACATTAAACATCCTACCACCCTAGAACCTTCAATACGAGGCAAGCCCATGAAGTTGAATGTCCCTGAGTAGTTGAAGACTCACTTATAACAAAGGCACTCAGGGCCCACTGGAAAAGAGCGAGGACCTCCAAGGCGGTCTTGATGTCCTTCTTAGTGGGCCAGAACATTATGTCCAGAATCTCGGGAGCTCCAGGTAAATGCTGTTTAGCTGTCTAGCCCTCACTGCTACGGGGCTTGCCATGTTTCCTCTCCTGGGCTTTCTTCTCCAGCTGTTGCATATTCTCCGCCCCTTGCCCCACCCTTTCACAGGACTGCAGGACCTCCCACCGCCTCTGCTTGTCCGGTTCCTTCCAGCTGCCTACCCAACTGCACTTTTACCCACTTGAACTCAGCCTGGGTTGAGATTGTGACACCCCCACTATACACCTGGATAATGGATGACGCCGTGATGTGGGAAGTGAGTGGGTGGGATGGGGCTGGTGAGAGGCTGCCAACCCCAGTCTGAAAATAAATGGGAGAGCTGTGGGCAGGAAGAAATCCTGAACTCAGATGGGACAGACTCGGGGCCTACATCTCTGCGGGCCCAACTGGTGACGACCTTGGGAAGAACCTATCTGGAGGGCTGACAAGGTCACAAGCCAGGTCTACAAACACCTTTGGCCTTCAGATCATTACAGTGAAGACATCACATGTATGTGGGCAGAGAGTGGGTGCTGAGCAAATTTTCTATTGAATGGTTAGACAAATGTTGGTGCATACCATGTTATTCTGTGTTCGTGAAGTTCTAGAATAGACAAAGCTTGTCTATTATGAAAAATCAAAGCAGGTGTTGCATCTGCTAAGGATTAACTGAGAAGTAATTTGATGAAAAGTTTTGGGGGGCCCAGTAATGTTCTCAATATCCTGATAGGATTTTGAGTTGCACATATCAAAAGCAGATGTCAAGATACAGCGAATGGAGGACTGGGGAGATGGCTCCATGATTTAGAGCACATGTTCTTGTAGAGGACCTAGGTTCAATTCCCAGCACCCACATGGCAGCCCATAACTGTCCATGACTCCAGTTCCAGGGAATCCTTGGGAACCAGGCTTTTAGATGATGCACAGACATACACACAGCCAAAACACTCATGCACACAAAAATAAGTAAATCTTTAAAAATTATTTTAAAAAATACAATGATCAGGCCAATAAGATGGCTCAGCAGGTAGAGGCGCTTACCACCAAACCTGACAACCTGAGTTCAATGCCTGGACCCCTTGTGAGTGGTCCTTTGACGGCCATACATGTGCCTTGGCTTGCTCATGCTGCGCCCCAACACAGTAACTAAAGAAATGTAATGAAAAGTGGTCTTTTAAATATAATACACGAGCGTTTATCATTTCTGCATTTCACCACATGTAACTTTTACCTAAATATAAACATTGAACTTTTATTCATGCTGATGTGCTGGGGGTGACGGATGTGATGCTTACAATTTATTTTCATTGTACATAGAGCCTATTATAGGCAGACAAAGGGATGTATTGGTGGGCAGGTAGGTGACATGTAAAATAGATCAGTGTCATCTGCACTATCTAGGTGGCAGGTTCACACATGATTCTTTGAACTGTTCTGTAGGCTTAACTTTTGATAATTGAATTTTGTTTTTTAAAAAGTTCCTTTGAAGTCATAGTAAAAATAAAGAAATTTTAAAATCTGACCTCTCAATGCATGTACCCATATCACTTACACGCAGTGACGATGTATGTATAAAAGTAGACATGCATGTTGTTGTCATTGTGCTTGTCATACATCCCTGGCAGTCGGTGACAACACCAAATGTGTATGTGGTGAAGAGGTGGAATATGAAGGAATCTCAATTCAGTCACGCATGCTAGACAGCAAGTTCATTAAGAGTGAATGACTAGAAGGCTTTCTTCAGGCAACGTAATTATTGATAGTATAGTATGTCCTGGGCACTGCCCTACACAGCTGGGCTGCGTCAGTGAAGAAAATAAAGCAAAACTAATTAATGCTCTTGAGAAGCTTACATTCTGGTGAGGGAAGATAGATGAGTAAAATTAATTACTTAATTAGGGTATAAAGTGATAAAAGAGCAGACTGGGAAAGATACAGATTGCCAAGTTTTCAGACTGAGTCGGGGCTGGATGGGAAGAGCTTCATGGTTTCAAGACAAGTATTGTGGTAGGCCACACTGTACCGGTAGCTCTTGAGCACAGGTTTGAAAGAGATGAGGACGCAAGGCACGCAGAGGCTAATCATCCAGGCAGAGGCACCAGCCAGGACCCAGCCCTTGCAATAAGGTATGCTTGGCAGGTTTCCAGAAGCAACAAGAAGACACGAGACAAACCTGTGACAGGAACTGAGGCCGTAAGGTTGACAAGATTAGTAGGGCTCAGATCATGAAAGGCCTTGTAGGCCAAGATATGGATTTCGCTTTTCATCCTGAACAGAATGGGCAATTACTGAAGGGTTCTAAGCAGAAGAGAGAGGATTGGCTTATATTTTTGAAGGGGTAGAGAAGAGAGAGAATCTTTGAAGGGCTGGCTCAATAATCCTCTGGTGCACAATGGTGTCTCAAGCTTAGTTAGCAATAGTGAAGGCATTGAGACATGGTTAGGTCTTAAAGACATGTAACATGATGTCACTCCCAAAACAGAGGTGCGACCTTCTCCCTTATGATGCCCAGATGCCTCAAGAAGGAAGTTGTATTGCGGAGGACCTGCCATGAGCCTTTCTCTGGCTTAGAGTCATTCCTGGATCTGGTCTCAAGTCATGTAGCCCTGAAGGAAACCCCTCGTGACTGGTGAGAACAGCTCACCTCCTGCCTTGCTAGACTGATGGTTCTGTGAAGGGCCTGTCGGGGGGGTGGAGGACTAAAAAGGGTATCAGGGTCAGTCTCCAAAACAGCCTGTAACCCAACATATGGAGTCTGGCCTTTGTACTATTGGCACTGAGGAGATGCAGCTAGCTTCTAGACAGGAAGAGTGACTTGTCCCAAATGCCAGGCCAAGATAACTTTGGGGCAAAGATGGGTTGTCAAAACCTAGCCACCTCTATGATTCACACACGGCTCATCCCATCCATCTCTATCACCTACTTGCCGTACCGGGTCCATCTGTACACAGAGTAAATGATTCATGATCTAAGTTCCCCTAAGGGCTTACAGGGCCTTGGACAGTATAGAAAGGCCTGCTGGCCCAGATCTCCTCTTTATCTTGCTTACTTCATTGTTCAGGACAGAACCTTCTTAAGATCCACGCTCCTGTCAGGGAAACGTGTTTGGTTTGGGTTCTGTTTTCATTCTTGAGACAAGGTCTCCTTATATAGCCCAGGCTGGCCTCAAACTCACAATCTTCATGCTTTGACCTCCAAACTGCTAGGATCAAACAACACAGAGAAACACGGTCTCAGAAGAAAAAAAAACTGCTAGGATTATAGGCATGTACCATTGCTACCGACATGTTTGGGCAACTTTCTAAGACCATTCCCATTTGTGGAATGAAGCTCCATGTTCATAAACACGGAACAGACACAGGAAGGTATGAAAAAGGCTGGCCCAGGGACCCAGTGTGCTGGTTCAAGAGGAGAAGAGTCACTGCGATGTCCAAGATTCCAGCTTTGTCTCAGTGGAAAGTGCACTTGTTCCCCTGAGCCTGCGTCCTAACCTCTCACTCTGCTGTGAGAAGCCTCTGGGTGGTCCAGGTCTTACTATTCTCCTAACCAAGCTGCTAACACAGGCCATGAAAAGAGATGCTCATTGACATTTGTTATAAAAACAAACACCCGAATGGATGAAGGCTCATTCTAGGAGGCACTGAACAAAGCCTCTTGGGTTCCTCATTTGTAAACAGGAGAAGATACACAGCAACAGATGGCCAGTCAGTCAGTTTTTGAACTGCAAAATGGTGTCCACATAGGCTGCTTATGTCACTATCATTAAGAAGAGGGAGAAAATAGCGAAGGCATTAAGGAAGACTTCAAAGATAAAATGACCCTCTCCCAGGAGGGCCTTCCCTCTGAGAGACATTGTCTTGTAGGTGTTGCACCCTGAAGAGCTCACACCGACAGTATGATGACCTGGAATATTCTATAAGCTCTCCTTCCTATCTGTACAGAAAAGACCATGTTCTCAGTGTTGTCATTGCTCTCCCCACCCTAACACCATGGAAATGGCTAAGACTTTCCAGTATCTTCTAATCCTTACTCCTAACCCTGGTATCATTTCTCTGTTCTATGCTCACAGATCCTTAGAGAGTATGAGAATGTTGCATTGATTTTCCTGGAGGAGACATGAACACATGTTTACTGGCTCTAGATAATGTGCCAAAGACAGAACCAGGAAAGCATTTCACCCAAGTCCAACTTGCGGATTTCATTTAGCTTAGAGGAGCAAGGATATGGGGTCCTTCCAGAAGTGTGAGTGACCCTGAAAAAGTTCTGTCGCTTAAAATTTTCATCCCAGCATGGTTGATGACGTCACAAAAGTGCATGGATGGAGACATAACTTCAGTTAACCTACCTCTTAGAATCTAGCACCTACTAAGATCACATAGAGCTGGGGGCAGGTGAGTGTCCCAGAACCTTTCTCCTCTCCTTCTACTAAGGAGTGTAAACAGTCTTATCATCATGACCACACGACTAACTATCACTGTATTGTTTGTGTATGTCACTGCTATGACTATAAGGTCAAGCATTGTATAGGTCACCATGGTAACCCCTGCTCCATGATAATTGATGGTCATGTACACCCAAGGAAACAACTATTCTCTAATAGAGGCACCAGTTCTCAAACTCAAAGCCACCATTTGAGATGGCCTGCGCATGGCCTTTACTGAGGCCCTACTAGTGAAAGCCATCTTCCTGCTTTGGATGTAAGCCCAACCCATACCAGTTCTGCCCTAGGCCCCTGAAAACAGACCAAAAGTAAGTCAACCCTTTCTTTGTACAGTAATTTCCACTTCACCTAGACACAGTTGTCAAGTAAAATACATTTGAATTTCAGATAAGACAGTGGATAGTGCTTTCTGAATCTATCCCATGCAATATTCTGGATATATTTGCTCAAAAACATCACTGCTTCAGAAAAAAAAATATTGCATACAACATACTTATTTTAAAACATTGTTCACATAATATCCAAGTTTAAATAGCATTCTGTACCTTCATTTGCCAATTTGGCAACCCTATGAGTCCTGATCACACAATCAAGGCAA